CCAGCCAGGGCAGCTGAGCCCATCCCTGCCCCTCTGCACACAGGATGGCGGCCTCGAAGGTGGTGTTGTCGCTGCTGGTTGCAGCTCTCCTACTGCACGTGGCCACGGCACTGAAGATCAGCGCCTTCAACATCAGGGTGTTTGGGGACCACAAGATGTCCAACCAGACTATCGCAGATATCATCGTCTCTGTGAGTGCTGGGGGAGAGGAGTGGTCCTGGGCCACTCTCTGGCCTCTGGGATGCAGCCAGCTTGGGGCAGTTGGACACTAGCTTTCTGCAGGCGTCCGTCCATCCACGTGTCCATCCGTGCATCCACCCACCCATCAATCCACCTGTCCACACACCCCCATCCATCCACCTATCCCTCCATCCATCCACCCATCCATCTGTCCATCCATCCATCCATCCATCCATCCATTGTCTCCAACCTTGGACCATCTCCACTCTTGCCGGTCCCCAGCCAAGGATGGGTGGTGCTTGGTTCTGCCCCAGGTTCCTCACTCAGTGCAGTCTGTGAGCAAGGAGCTGCTGGGATGGTGGGTGGCAGACAGATGGGTGTTGGAGCGCACTGTGTCACCCCAGGGTCCTTCCAAGTCAGGAGGACACCAGCAGAGGAGCTCCCTCCCTGGCTCTCGGGTCCCTGCTGACCCCCTGTTGCCAGCCTGGGAGCCTTCAGAGCCCAGCCCAGGCACCCATGGGTGCCCCCATGAGCAGCTCCTGGCCAGGGGCAAGCAGCTCTGAGCTTGTCCCCTTAGATCCTGTCAGGATACGACATCACCGTGGTGCAGGAGGTCCGGGACAGCGACCTGAGCGCTGTGAAGAAGCTTGTGGACCAGCTCAACAGGTGACCCCAATGGCACGGGGTGGGGGGTGCCTGCAAATGGGATGCCAGGACAGATCCTGGCTGGTGTCTCACTGTGCCAGGGCACCTTTGGCTCAGATGGAAAGAGCCTGCTGGGTGCTGGGGGGCATTGGGAGCCTCTTCTCACCCTCTCCCCATCTTGCTTCCAGTGCATCCCTGCACCCATACAGCTTTTTGAACAGCATCCCCCTGGGTCGGAGCAGCTACAAGGAGCAATACCTCTTCATCTACAGGTAAGGGATGCCACCAAGGTCTGGCATCCCCCATGTCACCTGCTGTCCCCCCCAGCGGCCCCCAAAGGGAGGTGGGTACCTTTGGGGGCCCTGGCTGTGGCAAGAGCAGTGCTGAGGGGCTGCCCCACTCTCTTCCTGCAGGTCAGACATGGTCTCCGTGCTGGAAAGCTACTACTATGATGATGGCTGCGAGTCCTGTGGGACTGATACCTTCAGCAGGGAGCCCTTCATTGTCAAGTTCTCCTCGCCCACCACACGTGAGCAGAGCCAGTGCATGGCAGCACCTCGGTGGCACCGGGGGCTGCCCAGACCTGGCATGGGGTCCCCTCTGCGTGGGGCTGAGCCCAGAGCTGTGCCTGCTGGGTTGGGGGATTACACCCTGGAGCCCAGCTCAGGGACTCCAGGGGGTTCTTCACTGCTTTGGGGCATTTTCCCACCCATGGGTGCTCAGGGATCATGGGTACCTGCCCAGCATAGCCAGCACTGCCTGCTGTTTCCCACCATGTGCTATCTCCCATCATCTGCCATCTCCTCCCATTGCCTGGCATCTCCCACCGTGCACTCTTTTCAGTTGCATGCCATATCACCTCTCCAGCTGTTTCCTGTCGTGTCCCACATCCCATCACCTACCACCTCCCATCTTGTGCCGCATCCCACCATCTGCTTCCTCCAGTTGTGTGCCATCTCCCATCACCTCCCATCTCCCTTCATGTACCATATCCCATCGTGTACCATCTCCCATCACCTCTCATCTCCCACCTTGTGCCATCTCCTATCCCGTGCCATCACCTCTACCTCTTCGGCAGCTCCCCAGGGTACACACACTCTCCCATCTCTCTCCCACTCCCATATCCTTCCCAAAACCAAGTTGGCTTGGAAAAAGTGATGGGAAACAAGCAGCAAATCCCAAACCACATGCAGAGAGATGGAGCTCCCAACTGGAAATGCCGGCCTGGAGGACAGGCAGACCACAAAAAGCCAAAGCACCCTTTCCCTTCAGCAGCTTTTCCTGGCTGGTAGCTGGGGCTTGGCCCAGGGTGGTCCCCCGGGGTTCTCACTCCCTTCCCGGGTGCTGCACCTGAGCTGGGGGCTGACGGGTGCCTGTCTGGCAGAGGTGAAGGAGTTTGTGATGGTGCCCCTGCATGCTGAGCCCAGAAGCGCGGTGAACGAGATCGACATGCTCTACGACGTCTACACTGACATTGTCAACAAGTGGGCGACTAACGTAAGTGGTGGCGGGGAGCTCGGCTCCTCCCTGGGGCAGCCAGCCAGGCTGGGGTACGGCCACCACATATCCCGGTGGCCATCCTGGCATGGATGTGTCCCATGGGAGATAGCTCATACCCACTGGAGTAGGTGCCACCCCGGCAACATCTGGGCAGGGAGCTGCTGGCTGGCTCCGCTGTCATTACTGGGGGCTTGTCCCCCCATGCTGGGGAGCCCCAAGGGGGCTTCTTGCTGCCCCGTAAGATTTTAGGGAGACCTTGATGCCCCGTAAAGTCCGTGGGCAGGGACACAGCGTGCTGCCCTGCAGAACATCCTGCTCCTGGGCGACTTCAACGCCGACTGCTCCTACGTGACCAGCGCCCAGTGGCCGTCCATCCGCCTGCGCTCCCTCGATGCTTGCGAGTGGCTCATCCCCGACAACACCGACACCACCGTTGCCAGCACCACTGACTGTGCCTACGACCGGTGGGTGCTGTGGTGATGGCACAGGGGCTGGCACGGGGGGGACCGGTGGGTGCTAACACCCTCATGATACCCCCGCCCCGGCAGCATCGTCGCCTGCGGCACCGCACTGCGCCAAGACATCGTGCCTGGCTCTGCCACTGTCAACAACTTCCAGAAGACTTTCCACCTTCAGAGCAAGGATGTGAGTGAGGGACCGGGGCACACGAGCCCGCCGGCACCAGGATCCAACCCACCATGACTCCTGGGAGCGCCAGTGGGCTCCCTGTTGCCCAGGGCGCACCCAAGGGTGGCCTGACCCCAACCCCTGCACTGATGCAACCCCCCAGCCAGAGTATTTTGGGGTACACTCTAAATTTTGGGGTTGGAGTGGAGTGTTGGGGTCCCAGCTGGCCATGACAGTGGTGGCGGGTCCAGACGAACTCAGCCACCTCTCTGCTTCCCCCCCACACCCAGGCTTTGGCTGTCAGTGACCATTTCCCGGTGGAGGTGACCCTGAAAGCCCGCTGAGCCTGTCCCCTCACCGGTGGCTACCAGGACACCCTGACAAGCCCCTGCATCCCTCACGGGAGCCCACGCACCACCAGCGCCAGCCAAGCTGCCCTTCATCTCTGCAAGGAGCCGCTCTTCAGGGTCTTGTGGGAGTGGGATGCTTTCTGCATTAAAAAATGAGCCTTTTCCAGCCCTTGCAGCTCTGGAAGGAGGGTCCCTTCAGCTCCCTCAGCAGCTCCCCCATGCCCAACCCCCCCGTCCTCCTGCCAGGGCTGGAGCCAGGGAGGTCCCCAGGGCTGGGGATCCCCTTCTGCCATCGAGAGCCCCAGACCCACAGGGCAGCAAGCTGCCAATGGGAAAAGCAGGGACACCGGGAAGGACCTGGGAGGTTCAGGGCAGGATTTGTCCCCCTCGCCGGGTCTCAGGATGCCATTCCGCTGGCTTGGGAGCCTCATCCTGCTGGAGCCTGCCTGTCTGCGGGGCGGCTGATGGGGCACTGACAGCGAGGGTGGGGGGAGGTGGGCACATGAGTCAGTTCCTGGGGGGTTCGGTGCTTCCCGGGGGGGGTTTTGGTGCCGACGCGGTACCGAGGGATACCAGACTCATCCCATGACTGGGCGTGAGGATGCAAAACCCGGCAGCGCACGTAAGAGCACGGCAAGCCCCAACACGAACAGCCGTCGCCTCCCCGCCCACCCCACTGCTGGCACCCTGGCAGAACCCCCTCCCTCAGTCGAGGTGACACCACGTACCGGCGTGACGCCACATGCCAGCATGACGCCATGTGCCGGCGCAGGGGATGCCGGCTCCACTGGGGCTGCTTTGATTTGGGTCACCAGTGGGGCTGCTTTGGGTCACCAGTGGGGCTGCTTTGGGTCACCAGTGAGGCTGCTTTTGGTGACAACTGGGGCTGCTTTTGGTGACAGCTGGGGCTGCTTTGGGTCACAAGTGGGACTAATTCTGGGTAACTGCCGGGGCTGCTGCGAGGCTGAGCAGCCACCCCATCTTGCCGAAGCTGGGGGTGCTCAGCCTGCCTGACCCAGACACCCCGCCGTTTCCTTCCCTCCCCTCTAATTACACCATCTGAATCATCTTCAAGCCATCGCCCATCACTGCCTGCCTGGCTGCCGTGCCCCATGCCATGACCTGGGGGGCCACCCCAGCTGCGGCACCCCGAGTCCTGCACGCCCACCCAGCCCCACCAGGATGCCCCAGCACCCCTGCACCTCCCCGGTCGCCCTTCGCCACGTCGGCACAGGGGCGGCTATGCCGGCCCCACCCTGCCACCCTGTGGGTTTTTGGTTTCCCAATGTGGGAAGGAGCCCAAAGCTGTGCCAAAACCCCCACGGGGGTGTCCGACTCATCCTGCTTTGCCGGCACCTCCACTGGGAATAAAGCTGCCCATCCGGCTGCTGGGAGGGCAGAGGTGCTGCGCATTCGACACGGTAAGGACGGATCCAGGCTCGGCACCTTTGGCCGCGAACCGGGAGGGACTGGGATGAGCTGGGATGAGCTGGGATGAGGAGTCGCTCCCTTACTCTGACCGTGGGGGCTGTGGTCAAGTTTAAGGATGCAAAGCAGCCCAGGGTGCTGGTGGCAGTGGCTGGGGGTGGGGGGGGGTGGGGGGGTGGGGGGGGGGGGGGGGGCTCTGTGGGGCAGCGGCCCCTTCTCAGGCTGCGTCTCAGGTTTTGGGGCCACGAAATAAATTCCTGGGACCGACAAACTGGCAGACAGCCCATGCCGGCTCCGCAGGCTGCTCCGGGCGGTGCTCACCATGGCACATTGTCGCACGCCAGGACTTAGGAAGGACCTACATGGATATTTTTTTTGCTCTATCCCCAAATCCAAAGCAATTTTCCAAGTTCAGCTCCCATCGCTGCATCCCTGTGGCTTGGCATCCCTCCCGGAAGGATGGGGACTGTGGCCCTGGTGCTGTCCCTGCTGGCTGTGGCTCTCCTGTGCCCGGCCACTGCCACGTTGCGTGTGGGAGCCTTCAACATCCAGGCGTTCGGAGACACCAAGATGTCCAATGAGGAAGTGGCGGGCATCATCGTCAGTGTGAGTACAGCCAGGGATGGGCTTTGGGCAGACCCAAAATGTGGCTCCCATGCCAGGGGATATGTGGGGAGATGGCCATGGATGGGATGGCTTCCCAGTGCTGGGGATGCCCTGGGTGGATGAAGGCTCAGTGAGGACCAAGGTGGGATGGCAGGCACACCCCGCAGTCCCTCTGAACCCTCCGTGGGGACATCTGCCCTGACACCGAGGGGTATGCGGGTCCCCGTGGTGCTGCACCCAGCACCGCATCGAGGTGCCTGGCTGGGGGACGGGTGGGAAAGGAGAGGGTGGCCCTGAGCCCACAGCAGGCTCCTTCTTGCCATCGTCATCCCTCTCGTCCCCACAGATCCTGCACCGCTACGACGTGGCACTGGTCCAGGAGGTTCGCGACTCCGACCTCAGCGCCGTCACCCAGCTCATGGAGCACCTTAACAGGTACGAGTGGGACTGGGGCCGAGAGCGCCTGGGCTGAGACGCCAGCATTAGCAGGGAAAGCCAACCTGCGTGACCAACAAAAGTCCAAAACAAGTCCATCAGCAGAGAGTTTGGTTTTGGAAAGGGGAATAGGAGAAAAAAGCTGGAGTGAGGCTTTGAGTGGGCACTGAAAAACCCACCAGGAATAATTCAGGGAGGGGAAGGGGGACACAAGTGGCACAAAACCCCTCCGAAAGCTGCAGTCCCACAGGAGCACACAGGATGGAAAGGAACTACAGCTCTGGCAAGCTCCATCCCCCAAATCCAACAGGACGGGGCAGAGGCGAGCTGGGGGGTGCCAGCTTGCACCCCAAGACCCTGTGAGTGGCAGGGGGACCCCGGGATGGACCCAGCAGCTGATGATGCTCTGAAGCAAGTGGCTCGGGCACTCCAGGAGGAAAAGGGGCTGCTGGGGTGGGCTAAAACTGGCCACTGCTGGCTGGCAGCCCCCCGGCTGGGCGGGGGGTGTCACCCATTTTGGGGGGGGG